TGTTGCAGACCAGATTTCCAGCGGGGGATGACGTTTACCAACAAGATAACGTACCATGTCATAAGGGTCCAATCGTCAGAGAGTGGTTCGAGAAGCATCGGTGTTCCTTTCATTTCTTGGCTCCAAATTCACCTGATATTAATCCAATAGAGCGTTTGTGGTCCCACCTGCAAAACCAAATTTGTGCTGCCACGCTACTCCCTCGTAATGTGCGGGAATTTCAGGTGGTCCTACATGTTATTAACAGGGTGGTCATAATGTAATGCATGTTCTTTGCATATACTGACTGCAAGCTAAAAATCACTACTCGTTGAATGTTGAGTTCATGTTATAAGTTACATAAGATGACCTAGGAGTTTTGCAATATAGTATTTTCTGTTTGTACTAGATGATACAAATAGAAAATGAGGCACACTGCTCCTGTAAAATAAATAGTTATCCAATTACCTTGTGGAGTCAATGCCAAACCAAGTGCTAGCAGTTTGAGGACTAAGAGTGGACATACATGTTATTAACAGGGTCGTCATAATGTAATGTCCCTTCAGTGTATATACTGATGGTAGGCTAAAAATCACTACTTGTAAAATGTTCAGTTCATGTTATATGTTACATAAAGTCATCTAAGTGTTTGGCAATATAGTCTAGTATTTCTTGTTTGTACTAGCTCATAAAAAAGATCTATTCCTGGGTGCAGCATCCAGGGGGTGCCAAATTGATGTTAAGAAATTTTAGAAAGAAATGTTTGCCATTCTTGGCACACAGAAAGAGGGGCAAAATATTCAGTTGTCCCCAGGTGTTAAAAATCCTAGTTATGCTTCTGAATATAATTAATAGTAATATTAATGATAAATAAGCAAGCTGTTTCGTTCCTGAGAAAAAAAAAAAAAAAAAAAAAACAGTATACACGGTGCATTTTACAAAGTTACTGCATAACTCAAACTTCTGTATTTTAATTTAATCACTGAAAAAATAATTTTATTCATAGTTTGATTTTTTTTTTCTGAATTTCGTCTGCATTTTATTTATGGTAGTGTATTCAATTTTTGTATTGCAGTTAAAAAATTTTTTTGAAAGAGTCATGGATTCATTTTTTGTTCCTGGAATTGATATTTCATTTTAATGCTATGATACCAAAACTAGTCTCGTTATTTTGCAAGACTTGTACTCATACATGCACTTATTACTTTACAGTTGGAATAGATGTTGTATAATTTAAAATCTGGCCATTGTTTATTATACACGATGTTCAATTTAAAAAAGGACTCTTCATAAAATTGGCATCTGTGCACATTTATGAAACACTTTATAAGGAATATGCATGGTACAGATGGGAAAAACCACAAATACAGCCATGCAGCCAGCCCATTTGTCTGAATCGATCCCAAGTCAAACTACGAGTGTTTTATCATTTGGCTGCCGGTGTGCCACATCTTATCTTAATATATTGTCCCTATTCTGTGCATTGGTCTACATATTTTTGGGGACAAATTGAAGTTCTTCTGAGCGTTCTGAATTGTTGCAGTGATGTTCATTTTCGATTCTTGTTTAAGGTGTCAGTAATTTTTATCAACCGAGTTTGTGTTAACCATCTCCATAAAATATAATCAGAGCCGGTAAGAAGTAGCGATCTTGATGTTCATAGTTTTTAGATATAATTCTGCCTTTAAAAACCTCCTCCAATATTTTCATGACGGAATATACTCTGAAACATTTTGCATTGTCTTGCTATATTCAGTAATGATGCTCATTCTTTTGCAATGAAACAGTGAATGAACAGACAGTATCTTGCAAGGTTCAGCATTCATTGGAGAGAAGAATGATAAACAAGTGCAAGTTTTCAAGGCTTCATGCTTTTCAAATTTGGTCAGAGACATACCCATTTTGACGAGACCATTCCTCATCTGGAAATGTTTCCACAAATTATGCTTTTACAAAATAACAGAGATATGGAACATAGTACAATACTTAACACCTGCTCTGCATAGAGGCATCTATGATTGTTGATGATCTAATTGTAGACCTACATGAAAGCAAGCTCACTTTAAAAACATTTGAATAGCTAGCTGTCATATCATTAGGCTGGGTTCAAATCTCGGCGAAGGTACCAATGCTTTGTAAATGTATAGTGATTTTCTGGTATGTGGGCATTTAAAATCTACTGAAGTAGAAGTCCCCTTTAGAAGCTGGTGTTAGAAGAAGAGGGTTTAAGAGACCCTTGGAATTTCCTAAAGTGTTCCTAGTTGAAATTCAGATAAAATTTAGTAAAGTGATTCTGTCACCAGATATGTGCTAATACCGTGGTGAATGACCAGCTGTTCGCTTGCCCCACCTATGAACATTCATGAAGCTGCTCCACTGATAGTATGTCCAAGGAGTGCAAATCAGCAATAGAAAAAATACATATCAAACACTAGTGATTTAAATTGGATTTTCAAGACCAATCTTTGAAGACAGTTAAATTTTGAGATTTATTTTACAAGAAACGATATATTTCATTCAAGCAATATAGTGATATTATTTCATAAAAGTAGGTTTCCCCCCCTAAAGACGGTGGTAAATGTTAGGAAGTCAGGACAATATTTCTAAGTAAAATGCCACACTCTAAAATTTTAGCTTCTTCTCCTATTAACCCTAGTTATAAATCTTTTTCAACATTTATAAGAGGACACTTTGAATCTTTCGTTTTATTTCCAATGATATAATTTCTTCTGTATTTCTGATCATGATTTCTGGTATAATTATTAAGTAATATAATATACAGTATGTTATGGTAATGTCAACACTTTAAAGAATAAAAATGTTTATGCAAAAGGGTAAAGTACTCAAGAAAGATACCTTCATTTCTATTTAAGTAAAGAGGGGATATGGTTTTTCAGTACTTTAATTTATGTAAGCAATCTTATGCTTTCAAATAGATCTGCAGATTGTCAAGGCATGTTTGTTACAATGTTTACCTTTATTTTTTACTACTATAAAAATTAGATTTATTCCAGTACGTCTAAATTTTAATGATCAGCTTAGTATTAAAACTTATTTCATTTCTACAAAAGATACTACTTCAGAAAATTATAATTTCATAAAGTTTAAGATGTGAAAATATCTGAAAACGTTAGTAAGAAATTAACACATTTACCATATGTAACTAGTTCAACTTTTTTTTTTAAATGCCAGTTTCTAGATTGGGCCGGCTTTCATTTACAGTGTGTAAATTGAATTCTATTTTAACATAATTCCTAAGACTTTTGTTGGTTGGTGACATAAAGCTCAAATTAAAATTTTTTTATCAAATTAAGTCAATTGAAAAGACAATCTATCAAAAAGAATTTGGCAATCTATCTTCACATAGGAAAACATTTCCCATTTTTTAATACATATTATTTTTAACACAATAAATTTCAAAGTGCTTTCAACCTGCTACAAGACTGTTGAAAAAATTTTGAAAAATGATGAGAAACTCAGTGCTCAGTAAATTAGTAAGATGGTTATAAAAAATTAAGTAATCAAAATTTTATCACAATAAGCAATATCTGCCTAAAACATGATAATTTCCTAGCAGTAGTTAAATTCAGTATATCCTTAAAATTTTCCTAGTATGCAACTAACTTTGAAGGTAAATTTAAATGACTTCTTCTAAAATTACTCACATGTGAGGTACATGTAAAATTTAAAGAATTTCCTTACTTTGAAATTCCTACGTGTCTGTACTTAGAAATGCAAAGGTGGTTAATTTGTTTATCCTAACAGAACAAAAGTGAAAAGTAATAGAAGTAAAGTGTTGTAAGTAAATATTATAATAAGGATATAAGATAGAATTTACATATCTGAAACAATTTTTCAGTAATTGATGAAGGATGTGAAGAGAAATCTGTTCTGTTCTAATGTGAGAGTGGTGATACTGATATTTACGGATCACAAATAGAAATATAAACAATGTAGGTAGTCTAGGAGTTTTTTAAGACAGGAAAATCAATTCATTAAGCATGATTCTTAGCACTGAGTTTATGTAAACATTCTTTTCATAACATTTATATCCATTAAATCATCCTCTGAAAATGTCTCTCAGTCTATGTAAAATTTTATTAGAAAGATAATGTGTTTAATGATTTAAATTACAAGAATAATAAAGCTGTAATGACATGTTTCAGGATCTTTGTTTCTGAATTTCACTGAAATAATATTGTTTTATTCCCAGTATATTTTTATATTTATATCTTCTTTTTAGCATCAGTGTTAACTCTTTTACTTCTTGCATGTTTACTTCATCTATTGTATATTACGTTTTTGGCACTTACACTACCGAAAATTCAATTGAGCAGCAAAATCACAAAGTATTTAAAAACAGCATATCTCTAGAATTTCTGGTAGAGAGTCTCTCACTCTGGAGATAAAAATATTTTATTCCATACAGTTTTTGCAATACTCGCTTTGAAATCATTCAGTTTGTTAATAAAAAAATTTGTTAAGTTTTAAAAAATGTGAAATAGATAACAAAATCAGTTCCAAAATCAAAATTCGGGCTTCCAGGTACCCATGTTAGGGTGGAAGACAATGTTATTCAAAATTTCATGGCTTTAGGTGCCATTGTTTTTTCATAATGTGAGAAACATGCATACATTTATGCAGATTTTTCATTATTTAATTACTTTAAATATAATACAGGGTGATAAAATTTGATGGCAACAATTTGGAGAGTGATACACCATTTGTTGTGATTCAACGCACTAAGCAGTTTTCAGACTATCGTCCATTCAGGTCTAACGTCCCCTTTTGGGCTAATAATTATTAGAAGAAAAAAGTCTAAAGACACTTATGAGGAATATGTCATTGCTGTTTTGCAGCAACATCATATTCCTCATTTAAGTATGTTTGTTTTGATGATGTCAATGATACAGCAAATCACACATAGCTTTCCAATCGGACGTCATTTAGCATCACTCAGTTGTTGCTTTTAATTATTTTCACTATGGATAATAATTGCTCTATATTTTTGAACAAAATAATTAGAAAGAAAAATATTTAATTAAATGCAAAATTGTTACAAAATTTTACAAATAAAAAATATAAATCAGGTTTTGCCACATTAATTTCAGATTACAAAAGATGCACAAAACTTATTTTTGCCAAAAAACTTTGCACCTTTTTTTGCATCCCATTCCACATGAATTTAAGTATGCAAAAGTTTAGGTAAGGATAGACAGTTCTGCTGATGTTTCTTTATCCATTTTACACTAGCGAATTTTGCTTTTCATTTAAAATAAGTAACAATTAAGAAAAAAAGCAAATAAAAAAATCCATGTGAAAATTATTAATTAATAATCCAACCCTCCCCCCCCCTTTTTTTTTGCAGTGTCATCAATGCATAAGTACTAAAGTACTCATTCTGAACAATACATATTAACCCATCTAATTTTTTCCTGTGTAACTGTATCTAGCATCCCCTTAATCACACATGAAAAAAATAAAATTTTAACACACAAAAAAAGTACTTTAAAGTATTGCAATCGAATGCAGAGAGCTTTGAGAAAAAATAGGATAATACTAAAAAAATTAATAAATTAACTTTTTTTTTTTTTTTTCCTTTTCTTGGATACAAAGTCCTTTCCCATTCATTAGGTCATCGAATGCTTAAATACACCTGATAATGACAAAATTAAAGTCAAGAAATTATCCAAATAAGTATAGACATTTTTAATCATTTTTTTAAAATTTGGAACTCCTAGCTATCACAATACATTAAAGTTTGGCACTGAAATCCTGTGACACTGAATAATTTTAATTAAAATGTATTAAGTTTCACTGCAAATTGTATAAAACACAGTTCAAGCATATTTAGTGAAATCACAGATGAAATGGGGTGGAAATTAAGCTATGGATTTCTAATCAGCTTAAAAACAATTAGAATAAGCAAAAGTAATATAAGCTGGATAAGAATATGTAATAAATACCAATGAATTTTATTTTAAATATTGCCAGAAATCTATGTAATTGAATGTAAAAATATTTTTCATTTATATAAGTATTTAAATTCAAAATGAAATTATATTCGATATCTCAATTCACATATCACATCTTTGTACTGCTTTTATTGAATATATTGTATAAATCACATTCTCTGTATACTTGCATAAATATATACATAGCATTAATTATGAGTCAGTAAACCGATAACTTGACATACAACCATCAGCGTTAAAGAAAGACTAAATTTGCATAAAATTTCTTTTGACCTTTGCAGCAAATTACAAACAACAAGTAAAAGAATATTGTTTTTCATTTGAGAAACTTTTAGTTTTGTATCATATTTAATAGCACATATGTACAATTTCAGAACATCTAACATCCTACGTTGAATTTTGTGCCATCAATCAGCATGCAATGTCAACAAAATACTTCCGACAAAATTTGCACGTCTCTGGCTGAATGGAGTCATCAAGTATACATGTTCCAGCTCATGCTGAGAATGAGTTTACCTGTTCAGTTCAGTTTCAGGCTTTGTCCATTCTCTGGCTCAGAATTTTGCCAGTGCAAACAAGTATTTAAAACTTTAGGGTATTTTAAGTATCACATTCAGATGAATGCTGAAAGAAAAAAAAATCATTCTAATGAATTATTGCATAATTCATTTGCTAGATAAAAATTCTAATTAACAATTAAACTACAGTCAAAAGTTGTTAATCCGGACTCGTCGGGACTTCGGCGATTCCGGATTATAGATCATCAGTTTAAATCTCGTAAGATGGCATGCAGAAATTATAAAATTAAAAATATGAAACCGTAATTTATGAAATAAAGAACAATTATGATCTAAAGCGTATCAAAATTTACAAAAAAAAAAAAAGCTTAATATTTATTTGTTTACTTCATTAAACATTTCTTTCAATGTAAGTTGCTTCGTTTTTATGTGATAATACTATAGAATTATATATATATAATTCTATAAACTATTTATAGAATTATATATATCTATTTATAATCTATTTATAGAATTATATATATATAATTCTATAAACAGACATAATTTCTTGTTCAGTTACAAAGTTCGGCTGTTCAAGTCCCGTTAATTGCTGTGCCGAGAATACCGACTAACTTGTCAATCGAAATTTTTTCGTTTTCACTAACCTCTCTGTCACATTCTTCATGTCTTTATCCATTTTTTGCAGCAATTCCACTTTTTGTTTGATGAACATCGAAACATACTTTCGTTTTGTACGATCCTTTGGGAGCTCCAGAATCGGAAATTCTATTTGACATAATCGAAAGTTCAAGTTTACTTTTATAGTATTGTTCTTACAGTCTGCAAAAAATAATAAGCCGGATCCAATTCGAAAATTTAGGAACAACGCAATCATCAACATTAACTGAAATCGATAATTAGATAATTTTAGCTTATACCGTCCGTTATACATAAAACGTGCATGTGAAAACGTATTCTGCGCTTGCGCACACTCATATGCGCAGTCATAGAAGGTCTTACGTGCACGCGTAAACGCCTATGCGCATGTGTCAACGCGGCGCATGCGCAGAAAGTTTTAGCTTTGAGGTCCGGATTATAGATCATTCCGAATTATGGGTGTCCGAATTAACGAATTTTGACTGCAATAACTTTTTAGAGTCTAATGTATTGATAAATTATAATGCACAGTTCAGCATTATAGCTACACTAAGTTTATTATAATGTAAATTATAATAAACATAATATATTTATGTACAAGGTAAACAAAAATAAAAGCTATGTTTTGAACGGGTTTGTACATTAATGTTGTCAGTTGTGTCTCTGTTAATTATATTAGCATATTTACTCACATTTTCCAAATATTTCTCATAAGCACTTAAGCACAAATTTACAAAAAATTTTTAAGCTGCCACATTAATTTCAATTTCTTGATGGTGTTCCGAAAGCAAGTACCACTCAATTTTAAAATTAATTTCTATACATAGTTGTTGATTTCTTTTTACAAATGGATTTGCTTGTAAATGAGCTCTAATTCATAAAGAAATAATAGAGAACTTAAATTTTATAATACTTATGATAAATAAAGTGCGCCTGAAAGAATTTCTGAAGCCCAGTGGCGCAGTGGCTAATGCATTGCGCAGCACCACCACAGGTCTGAGGTTAGATCCCCTGGCTGGGCAAGATCGACTAAGCCGTTCATCCCTTGGGTCGATAAAATGACTACCAAGTTCACTTAATGACTAAACACTGGGGGTCCCGTGACAAGCTGAATATTTGACATATGCTTATGTGCCACTAGCCATCCAGAATGCAGATTTTGGGGGTCTGGTGCACCACTCAGTTTAGTTTAGAAAGAATTTCAACATACATGCAGTAAGAGCCCAACTATACAACATTCCACTAACCATGAAGCTCAACTGGCAAATTTCATAAAATTGTTCCCTCGAAAAAATTTAGTGAGAGATTTGTATAGTAATAATAGAACTCATAATAGTATTAACACATATACACTGTCACCAAAGTGTGATTTACTCTAATAATGAATAAGCATGATTTCACAATACAACCACAGTAGGTCTGTTTTGGTTTAATGTACATTTGACTAATTCTTGATAAGTTGGTTCAATTTTTGTAAAGGTGGATTAAGTTTTATTATATTTTCTTCACATTTTGAAAAAATTCATGAATATCAGACTGCATGAAGTGGAATATTTTCAAACCTACAACATCTATTTATTAACAACATATGCAACTTTAAAAATAGACAAAGAATGGCGATGCAACGTGAAAAATTCTAAATGATTTTAGCCTTTTACATGAAGTATCCATAATTTGAGTCTCTGAATTATCTACTTTAGCTGAAATGATTGGCAACGTCTCCTTCAACTTTTATGTTTGGAAGAGTTTCACAATCGGATCACATATTTTACTTTCATGCTAAAGGCCAACAATGTCTCTAAGCTTATATGTCCGAAAAGCATTTTTCAGAATTTGATATTGTTATGTAGTATGTAGAGGTTCGGAATGGATTGAATGCACTGAGATCCAATGACAGCTTCATGAAATTTATTTTCCCAAAAGAAACACTTTAGATTTCTGGAAGTTTCTACAAAAGTACTTGGACAACTCTTCTTAGTATGACAGAGCAAATCAGTAGTTATCATTTCAAGCTTTTAAGATCATTAAACACAAGATAATATAAAAAGCCTCGAATTCATAAGGTTGTTCTATATTCTGAGGTAACCTCTGAACTCAACTGATTTAATATTATATAGTTTCCCCTGTCCACTGAGAAATTTCTAGCACCTCTCATTTCTTACAATTGTTGGAATTCACAGTTACAGTTACTTAGCATGGGATGCAGTTACACAGAGACTGTACCAGCTACATAAATATAGGACCAGTGACTTAGCTAGGGTGGGGCAAGGGGGCGCAAAATTGATGTTACGAAATTTTTAAATGAAATGTTTTCCATTCTTGGCACACATAAAGGGGAGGGGAATTCTTCAGTTGTCAACTGAAAACCCTAGCTGTATAGGACTTACAGTTACATAAGTACATGAATACAGTTACAAAAGTATAGACTCCAAATCTGACAACTTTTGCAGATTTGTCACCAAATTTAGAGATGAAAATTTGTTGCCAAGACCACTGCCAGCTTGGCACTATCTCACTAATTCGGCGAGACAGCCATTTAACTCAATGTTAAATGTACTTATCACTTGTTTTCTCAGAAATGCTTCACAGTGTTGAGGCTTTTCACGCTACATTATGCATGACATACAATTCACATATAATTTCAATAAAAGATTTACATATATATTCAAAATGCATAAGAACATGATTTTAAATGTGGGCTTATGTTGTAAAAAATAAGATTTTTTTTTTTTTAATTTAAAAAGCTGAATTTGCCTCATTGATCTGACTTTTCTTACATGAATTTCACTTTTTATATGGTCAACTACAGTACAACTCCAATTATCTGAACTCCTATCCAAATTGCTTTTGAAATTTGAGAAACAAATTAAGATGGAAATGTAGTGTGATTTACTAAAGAGTGATTCTGTCTGCGCACTGTATTGTCTTTTCATCCGCGAAGCTAGTGTAGGCGCAATACAAACATTATTGGGATGATGAGTCACCATCTCATAGGTTATTCAGTTTCTCAATATTTTCCTGTCTATAGAACTAAATGCACAGAAGTAAGATGTTTAAACGGATCCCACATTTTTGCACAACTCCAATGCGTGCAGCCCCCCATTTCTTGCAGCCTCATGTTTTCCTTTCTTTATGATTTACAACTTGACTACAAATAATCAGCATTCCAAGGAGCATTAACCCGAGTGTGACCACATTCACCTTCTCATTGTCAAGTCGATCCGCGACTTGGCTGCCCGAAAACGGATGAAGACAGTCAAACAGTTTACTTTACGAGATGCTCAGTAAGCAACGACTTTCAGCACTTATAATTCCTGTACTATACGCTATATAACATGGATGTAAAAGTGTTGCCTTTTTGTTTTACTTACCATATTTCCCAGCATATAAGAAGCACTTTTTCTTTGAAAACAAGTCTGAAAAACAGAGTGCATCTTATACGCCGATACTCAGTTTCTGATTACATTAATTTCTGGAAATTTCCTCTATTTGGAGTTATGTGATTTTTTTTTCTCGTTTCCTTGCGGAGTGTGGGAATATTACAATTATGTAGAGATCAGCGAATGCACATGCACTGTAATCAACGATCACAGCTGGGTTCTTTTAAGTATGTGAAATTTCTACTGTTCAATTTTTTTTTAATTTGTTGGCAAGTTATGGCTCAAAAACAAGGTCACCATTGCTATAACATAGCATACAAGCTACATGTCATTGCATATGCTAAAGAACATAGAAACAGGGCTGCAGAGAGGCATTTCGGGCCAGCCTCAATGGAAAAATGATTAGAACTTAGCGAAATTATAAATCAGTAATAAAGTTTTATCCTTCAAAAATGTATATAAAAAAAGGGTGCATCTTATACGGCAGCAAATATGATAACTAAAACATCGTTTTCTTCAGAAACAGTTTTTTTTCTCCCATTTTCAACATACAGTACATTCAGTAATTAATTCATGTGTCTACAGACAATTTCTTCAGAAAAAAATCAATTATATGAACAGGGTCCGGTCCCAATTTATTCGGATAATTGGAGTTCTATTGTACCTGGAATTTTCACATATCTGGAATTCAGCATTTCCCGATATTTCCAGACAGCGGAGCTCTTACAGTGTACCGTGGCAATAAATATCTTGAACTTTCAAAATAATCATGCCAAAATTTGGTTCTAATAATGGATATTAGAAAGTATTTTAAACATAACATACTATGTAGTCACAATTAAAACATTTACTCAAGGAAAAAATTTGATGGAATTTGGTACTGAGTTAGACTACAGGTGTTTGGTTATCTTAGCTTGATTATCACTGATTGACAACAGCTAAAATAGCTTGCTATTGCTATTTGTTAAGAACAAATACAGCTTGATAATTATTAAGGAATACCTCATTTACGCAAATTTTCATTCCTCATCACTGTGTAGTCACAGAAGAAATAACTGTACAGAGCAGCATATGATCAGATCTTTAT